TCTAGCAATAACAACTAAGAGGTTCGAGCCAATAAATATCCTCTAGTAAAAATAAATAAAAGGAACTCAGCTAGGCACTAGTTAAACTATGGTGCGCTCGGCCACTTGTGTCTAGCTGTGTCTAGACGTCATATTCATCAAACCCAAAAACAATTATAAGCTACTCTACATGAAATTTGATGCTTGTATACTGATTTTTATGCTTTCATAATTCTGTACTTCCTAATGCACGGGTAAAGAAGAAATATTAATAGTACAACTTCACATGTACAATGGGATGATGGGTCATGACAACAATAGAATGACATATCAAGCCAACATACTCACGCATCTTCAAAATTTTCAATAATATAACATAAAAATAAGTGGCATCTTGTAAAGATATGTAAGTATCGTGAATAACAAGTTACATGAGTTACAAAGGGGCAACGTACCCTCGTCAAAATGTACATCTCCTTTAAGAGACTGGTAGAGATATTAAAGAGTGGCTTTCCACTCAAGCCACCAGCTTCAGAAGCCGCTGGGTTTGTAGTAACAGGATCTGGTCTTGAAACAGTTGTATTTGATATAATCTGGAATAAACAAGATAAAAACAGCTCATAAGAGTAGAACAAATGGCACTAACTTTCAGGTAAATAATATACTGAATATTAAAGTCATCAACCTATACTCTAATATTAACATGTAGAACACCGTATGGTTATCATTGCACTAAATAGCTCATAAGAGTAGAAACTTTTGATATGGGTATGGTAAGCAATGAAAATTGTGAAGTGTGTGATAGGAAGTAAACATACCAATCCATCTAAGCGAAGGGCAAGGGCAACCTATATCCATAAACAAACCACCATAAGAAAACCATTTGGGTGGGGGGTGGGGTGGGGAGGGGGGAAGAAAGTAATCAATTACGAGCATAAATGCGTACTGCAGCAATATCTTCAAGGTCTTCTTTAGACAAATCTGGAGCAATTTTCACGAGCAATGGAGGAGGGCCCTCTTCACCCCATTGCATTTCATCACGAGCAGCTTGAACCTTGAGATGGAAGAAAGAGTTATAAGAGCTACCTTTTGCAGACATTTATATAGAGAGAGAAAGTTCATGCCTTTGAGATCCATACCCTTTTCACAAGGTCCTTCAACTGCTTTCTTCCCTGAAGCATACGTAACCCAGGGGTGTTGGGTGATGAAACATTAATCACCTGCAAAGAGATCAGCACAAATATTGTCGAATTAATGAAACTGGATTTGAACTTGAAACGTATATGCAGAAACTAAAACCTTAATGCTTGCAGTTTGTGAATTATTACCGAAAACTCAACTTCTGGGGAACAATATCAAGAAATGATGCAAGATTCTATTTCAATCCACTGAAAATTCAGCTTTCACTACTGAAGTTGAGGAAGTTTTACTTTAATCTGAATCATTTCCAGATATAAATTTGATTGTTCATATATCCTAGTCAAGTAATAAAAAGTCAGACTTCCGAACAATTGCTGCCCACCTGAGCTTTTAAGAAATTATTTTCCAAAATCTCTGTTCTCTAGTAAATTGATTGTGACCCTCAAAATACATATTTGGCATCATTTATCAACAGACAAGGAAATATGTAACCAATTCTGTAGTATAATTTGTGACACCTGATAAAGTAGCCTAAAGATGGTATGAAATTATACAACTCAAAATCCAATGAATGAACCAACCAAAAGACCACAACAAGAGGCCTATTCAAATGCACCTCCTATTGCTTTTCTGTGTGGAGAAGCAACATAACAAGAACCTATCTTATTAGATGTTAGCCATGAAAACAGCATACTAACACAGGCATCGTGATGAAGTTGATGCATTTGTGAGTACAACCACAAAGTGAACTCTTGTTAAAAGAAAGAACAAGTTGGACAGTGAAGAGAGTGTTTTTTCCTAATTATGCTTCAGTCAGCAGAACTACCCTCCACGCAACCTCCTTTGGACAGACGGAGATACTATTCCTAGGGAACCAACATTAGCAATCAAGATGCACTTTCCAACAAGAGGGAATTAACACGTATTTAGTTGCAAAGCAGCAGAGTCACAATGTCAGACAGAAAAATTACTAGACTATGAGAAATCAGTAGAGAACAATCTACCAAGTAATCAGCATACTGGGACAATGTATGAACCCCTTGTACATAATCTGCAGAAGCATCTTCACTTGTCTTATTCTTCCCAAGATTCACCCCTACTATTCCAGGGCCAGCTTTGCCTCCAGGTTTGACTTCTTCACCTGAAGAAGATGAAGGGCTTGTAGTTTCATCCAACTTCCTCTTACCATGCTGAGCACCCAACCGCTTCGCAACAGCAACAATTCCTTCACTATTAAAGCCACATCGATTGATGATAGCTCTGAACACAACATCAGGTAGATTGATAGCACATAAGTTAGAACAAGAAATGTAACCCGGCTCAAGTTTGGAAAAAAAAAAAGATTCAGATGCTAAAGCACCATAACCACCTTCCAAAAGTGAATAGAAAATTTGACTTAACACAAGAAATTCAAGGCAATTCAGGTCTTAATCAGAACATAATAAGATAAACACAAAACATACTCTTACCCTTCCTCACGCAATCTGAAGATACGAGGCTTTGGATTGCCCTCTTGGGGAACAGGGGTTACAGAGCCAATCTCTACAAAGCCAAAGCCTAAACCAAGTAGACCATCAACAGCCTCAGCATTCTTATCAAATCCAGCAGCAAGACCTACAGGGTTGGAGAACTTCCTTCCCCAAACTTCTAGCCCTAAATTTGATGGATCTGGTCTCTTCTCTCTAGGAACCCAACCTCGTGCTGCGGCTGAGACACCCAGTCTGTGAGCAACCTCTGGATCCAGAAGAGCGAAGAATGGATTCACAAGTTTTGTAGCTGAGAATAGCCAGCCACTTCAAAAATTTGATATCCAAGAATTAGCAATAAACGTAACTAAAATTAAACTTCAACATTTCACAAAAAACTTAAGCCATTCAACTAACTACTGATAAATAAACTGAATTACACGGTTTCTGCTTCATCCGCATAAATAAGTACACAATAGCATAACAATGAACAACCTCATCACCATTGCAAGAATGAGGCAGAACATAACAAATGACAATTCATAATTTTTGTCTAATGTCCCACGAAAGCTATTAATTTAGCAAAAGAAATTTATGACTTTTACAACTATGAGTGTAATTCCAAAGTTTCTAGGAAGCAAGGAGAAATCCAGAGAAATTCAACCCGAGTCCCAACGCCAAACAACAAACGCTCACACCACACAGGTCTCAAGCAACACAGCATGGCAGACTTTTAATTCAAGCATCAGAGGTTGCCTTAAGAGAATTCCACATGTTTTATGCTTATACTTTTCTGGCTGATAGGTAACAGTAAGTGGAATTAAACATAAATGCTGAAACACTGCCACCATAATGGTAAACCGTGTGAAAGGTTAAATGCAAACAGAGCAAAACTTCTACTTAAAGATTTAAATGAGGTACCAGAAAGTTGCTTCATCCACAGTGCTCACATAAGCTCCTCCGCCTATAACTAAGCCTAAGGTGGTTCCCGTCAACAACCTCCCCTACAGTTCAAAACAAGCAGACAGCACTTCAAAATCAAACAATAATGCATTGAATTTCCAACAAATTTGACTTAAAAATAAAAGTGTAAGCAATATAAAATGAAAAGGCACCACTTTGGTGAGATGGGTTCGCATTTTTGCTGGAAACAAATAAAAGTATAATCTTCATAGTTCTTCCTCTGTGATTCTTTGCAACCAAAAAGATAGTGTCATACATATACGAAGGAGAAGAAGAAGAAGAGAGAGAGAGAGAGCATACTTTCTTCGAAAAATGAGGAATCTTTGGAGCAGTTTCTGCAGCAGAAGAGCGGTGCCGTACACTTGCAATAGGAGTTGTGCATGCCCTTCTGAACAAAAAGTCTCTTAGTAATTTTCTTGAAGCCCTTGCCGCCATGACCTTCAATGATCAAATAAAAAAGTTAAAAACTTTCAGTAGCTTAAATATCGCCTCGCGAACTAACTTTGCTAACAAAATAATCAAAGGCAAAAGCAAAATCAATAGTAGAAAAGGAACGTACAGAGCAGTGGACTGTGGAAGGCAAGAGAGTAATACAGGGCTTGTTACGACGGCACCCTTGAAGGAGCGGGACAATGGGTAAAATGGCGCACACACAGATGGGTTTGGCTTTTTCTCGTGCGGGTGATATATGAGCACCCGGTCTTTTAGATCAAACGGGTTATTATGCGTTTACGGGTCAATATCAGATATACTTGGTGTTATTGATTTAAGAATGTATGATATATATTAGTAAATAGATACATGTTATACCCAAGTGGTGTCCCCCTAGCATTATTATTAGAACATTGCGTTGGGATTGTCCCATATCAATTTACGGCAATTTTGACAAAAGATGTTGCAAACGTGACCATATACACAAGTCCATAGTGCTTAAGCCCATCATTTATTTTTCGTTGTCAGATTCAACTAACTAATTTGATCAAATAATTAAGAAATAAGATTTCATCTAAAATCCTCATTACGCAAGTATTGTCCAAGATCGCATCGCTGCAATGATACCAACAAGCGAATGAGTAAAAGAGTTGTATGAGCTAGGGTCCAATCCAACTAGTAACAGTACAAGGACCAAATGAAACATCAAATTTCTTTGTAACCCAATGACTTATAAGCCATCAACAACTACAAGGCCAAGAGAGCTCAAATGGGCAGGGACAGGAGCGGTGGGCAAAAGTTTACTTACTAGGGTTCAAGTCTTTCCTTCACATAAACAATAATAAGAAGAAAAAAGATTACAAGTTAGATTACAATCCTTGATATGCAATAATATCTAGTTAATTACAATCCTTTCTTTTTCAAGTTACAAATTTACTTGAAATAACAATTTTTGAGTGGCCTTCAAGTAATCCCAGCTTCTTGACTTGAGCATATGTAATGTATATATATATATATTTATTTGAGCGCGGGTTGCTGCTTGCTTTCTCAAATCCCAATTTGGAGCTGGCGTTCGTTCGTTTCAGAAAATAGAAAATAGAAAATAGAAAAAGAAGATGCAAGCAGTGGCAAAGCTGAGCAAGAACCTCACTCGGCCTCTCTTCTTCCTCGCTCCAAGAACCTTAACCACCCTCACTGCTCCTTCTTCTTTATCGAACTTGCTTTCCTCACCGGGCTGTGACACCAGCATCACCCACTGCACCAACACTTGTCTCACTGGAAGAACTCTGCTTCAATCTCCCTGGTCCGCCATCCAACACCGCGGAGCCGTTGTCCTGGGCTCCGATGTAAGTTTTTCAATCTCATTTCGGTTTCCTACAGAGCGACGACGTTTTGAATTGTAGTTTTTGTTCACAGTCATGAATCATGATCGTGCGATTGTGCAGGTGAGAGCTGGAAATGTCATTGAGAGGAAAGGTGGGTCGGCAGTTTGGCTTTGCAATCAATTTTACACAGAATCTCGGTGGGTTTTGTTTGAATATTCATTTAAAATTGTTTTTTTACTAACAAATTTTATGAATCATTTATAATTTAAAAAATCACATTGCGGTTGCGCTTGGGATTATGGTGGACAATACTTGCTTCAGATCGTCTTTACCAGGTGAATTGGTTTATTGTATTTCTGAACGGTGCAATAATGTTATTGGTGAATATTCTGTCATTTAATTGATGCACAATTTGTTATTATTTAGGTGATAAAGGTAGAACATTCCCATGAAGGAAGAGGAAAAGCGCACATTAAGGTGTGTTTCTGTCATTCTGACCTTATCATTATTAGAACCTTATTCATAAGGTTTGATTTGTACTTTTTGTGCTTTTTTTTTAAAAGCAAGCTGAAATGTGAAGCTGTGTTTTCATTGTAGGTGGAGCTTCGTGATGTTGACTCTGGAAACAAGACATCCCAAAGGTTGTCGACAGATGAGGCAGTTGAAAGTATGAAATTTTTGTAAATTCCCATTACCATTAGCTTAATAGTCTACAATGCTCATTGCCTATCAGACAGATTGCTTTAAATCGTTGATGCAAGCATTCTTTGGTAGTTCAATACACTTCCTTTCTTGGATGACTGTTTCTGCATTGCTTTTTATTGTTCTGGTTTAGTTTCGTTTCACTTTTTTAAAACATCTGCTTGCGAGGCTTGTTCACAAAGACATTGACCAGTGTTCACAAATTTTTTTATGCATTTACTTGAGTGTAGGTTGTTTTGAACTGAATAATGGTCAGTTTCAGCAAGGACAGTTACCTCTTGAAACTAATCGGTTCATGTTAACCCTTCTAGTGGATGCCCATTATTATCTTAGTTATAAGCACTGGTTTATCCTTTAGTGGACGCCCATTGCTCAATAGTGGCTGGTGCCTTTTCCTAAATTAAAAATAATACTGACAAATGGGCTGTATTATCACAGTTATGTCAAGTTGACTGAGGTCTTTTGATCTCAATGGTGTGTCATTCTTTCAGTTATTATGGTTGTTTGAGCTAAAATGACAAAATCTTGTATGATTGCTGCAGGAGTATTTGTTGAGACAAAAAGCTATATTTACATGTGCACGGATCGTGATGGCATTGTATTATTGATGGAGTGAGTTTTATGTTTTAAAATTTCCCTCCAGCATCCTCTTCCTTTCACTTCCTGCTGTTACTTTCTCTTAAGAAATACTCTCTTTGTAATTTTTATCAGCCCTGATACGTATGATCAGCTCGAAGTGCCTGAGGACTTATTTGGAAAGAAGGCTAAATACCTACAAGGTCGAGGCTTATTATAGTGCATGTTCCTTTCTGTTCACTCATTTTCCATGAGTTTACCTTTACTTTTTTTTTTCTTACCAAAAGGTAGTGATTATCAATGAGCATGAAATTCGTAGTAAATAAATTTATGTAAATTGATTCAGAGTTATTTATTACAACAATTTACTTTCTAGCTGCCACGAATGGTGTTTTGGATAAAACTACGTGGTGGTATCTCAAAATAATCATGTGGTGGAAGCTGTGTCACATCGTTGTTTACTTACTTTTTTTCTTCTTTTCAGAATGCCATTGTGATTAGCAATCCATGTAAAACTCTTCTTCATGACCAGCTTAATAACTCTACTAGTATCAGGACCTTCCAGCCACTGGCACTGAACCATCTTATAACTCCAATACTGTGATGCCTCCTAGATACAATTATCTAAACCGTCCTAGTCATTTTGGGTGTTATAATAATAATGTCTTGTTTCCTATTTTGGCAGAAAATTTTATTCAGATATGTAATTGAATATAAATTTCATCATCATTGTTAGTTGTCATAGTTGCCATGTATTATACTGAAATAAAATATGATATTCACTGTGAACAGAGGAACTGAAAGTTAAAGTAGAGCTGTTTAACGGAACCCCTTTGTCCGCATCAGTTCCAAAACATGTGACATGCATTGTCAAGGAAGCACAACCTCCTGTGAAGGGGATTGCAGCAACACCTAAGTATGTTTTCATTGTGCAAATGCTATTGTTTTTGTAGGCTTCATCTCACTACTCAATGTTGCTTTGTCTTTCAGTTGCACCTACTCCTTGAATTATCACTTGATATAATAAACTGCTTGATCAATTTCAGTGTTGAATTCTTGTCATTATTCTGACAAAGGATATAATTGCTAAACCGTAGATTTCTAAGTTAACCTGTTAAACTAAAGCTTGCTAAGATATGACTGTTAATCATCATGGACTTGCCCTCATCAAGGCATCAATTGATACTAGTGGGCCCCATGCATTAAAACCTTTAAGTATGCTGGTTTGAGGACTTTGCTAAAGTTGACAATGATTAGGTTGTTGGTTATCTGGTGTATTTTGCAATATCATTTATCTGTTTCCCCTACAAAGTAAAATCTTGTGACTAAATTCTCAAGTGGATTCCTATTATCATGTTGACACTAGTGTACATTGTAATATTAATATCTTATTTGTGCGCTTTTGCTAACTCCTGATTTTTCTCTAAAATGCAGGGATAAAATAGCTGAGATGCAAAATGGCTTCACCATGAAAGTAAGAATTTCTTTATAAAATATTTTGTATAAGCTAATTTACTGCTTTCGGTAGCTAATATTAGAAGAAAATAAGGTATTTACAAAACCTGCAGCAAACAATAAGTAAAGAATAGTGGGCATTACAAAGTATGGTTTTTTAATTTGAAGTGAACTTTTTCATATTGCATGATGTCCACACTTTTTTTTTGTTGAGAAGTTTTCAAGTTATCAAGAGCTTTGTTCTATAGAGTATGATGATTTAAAGAGTTCACAATATTCATGAATGCATGTATGAGCATATAGAGCAGATAGCTTACCATTATGTCTGGATTGAGTTTATAAGTTGTTGATCCTGAAGGCTTGCTGGACTCCCACATTCTTGCAAAGTTCAGCTTGTTCTTAGAGCCCAGATTCTCCCTCTCCTCTCTCCCTGTTCTACCATTCTATAAGCTGGAAGATAAATACATATGTAGCATGCAGATTACATGGCGAATGGTGCATTGAGGATATGCTATAGGTGTCATGAATCACAGATTGCATTAATGTCTTCTTTTTTTTTCTTTTTCGTTCCGGACTTGCTAGGTACCACCTCACATCATAGCTGGTGAAGCTGTGATAATTGACACTGAGGACGACTCCTATGTCAGAAGGTAATTTTCTACTTATCTCTCTTAGCGTGTATCACATCCTTCTAAGTTGTTCGTGCACAGCTAGATATAAAGTAAGCACCTAAGCACCCTATTAGCGATAGCAAGATTTACCTAATATTTATAAATGTTTATATGACAAGATTTTTCTGCTTTATAACTCAAAAGGCCCTGATGATTGAGATGTTCCGGTTATAATGTAATGTTGTCATTATCCATGTATATTTACAACTCTCTTCGCGTATTGTCACCGGATCTCTTCATTACACCTCAACTGCTGTCATTTGTTTCTACGTAGTTATCCATAAATAATTATAACTTGAATGTTTCAGCTGGACTCTAGGGGGGGCATAATGCCTGTGTTGGGACTTTGGTTTCTAGATTTTCTAGCAAGCTTGCCCCATTGATTTCATTTTTTTATTTCCTGTTGCTATCAGGGCCAAGGCATAGTACTTAATATCATTGCTTCAGTCTGATGGAGAGATGGAATATCATTTGGGCAGAGTCTAAGATCACTCGTTGAGTTCAACTCCGTAATGGATGAATTTATTATTAACCTTGATGGGGTTGCTGCTGATTCAGTGTGATGTATATTTACTCATACAACATTAGAGAATGATACACAGCTCTTTAGGGAGGATCCAAGTTTTGCTCTTGAACTTGATGAACAATTGTTTTCTGCGTGCAATTTAGTTTATAGAAAGTAACGTTTCACATTCTTATTTGCATAAAACTGCTGTTTATGATTTTATGGTTTTATGAGAAGGGGAAGAGTATTGTGCCGTCTCTAGATCATTTTTAGCTTGCCATCAGTTCAAGTTACTTGTTTTTTTTTTTTTTTTTGATGTCATTAGGAAGAGAGAGGAGGGGCCGACAGGGTAGGAGGTTTGCGTTGTTTGTTTTCAGATTTTCTTATTAGGCTTATTATCACAAAACATCCCTAACGTTTGCGAAATTATCACATTGCATCCCTAATGTTTTTTTGTATCATTAATGGTCCCTAACGTTAATACATGTACTCTTAAATAGTCCCTCTGTCAAAAAAACCGTTAAATTCAAGGGTATAATCGTCAAATCAATCCAAAACTATATAAAAAAAAATTTCTTCCCTTCTCTCTTCTTTTCTTTCTTCTTTCTTCTTTCTCTCCGCCTGGCCCCGCTCACTCTTCTTCTTTCTTTCTTTTTTCCTTCCCTTCTCTCTCTCTCTC